AGACTTTGAGTGTCAGAAATATATTTTGTACCCAGAGTGACTGGATGTGTGTGTGTGTAGTAGCAGAAGCAGAGTTGGACTATTGTACACCCATTAAGGACCTCACCTGAAGCTTTCACAGCCAACTATTTTAAGTTTCCAACACCTCTGTTTTTCCCAGTGCTTGGTCGTGTTTTAAGCAACGTCAAGTGTGCTCATTTTTAATAATATATTGCTATCTTGCTCATTCCTAGGTTGTGAAAATAAAAGAAAAATCTTTTAGAATACTCGTCTAAGTTTAAAAGTCGGGTTATATTCTTCATATTAGAGTAGACAAAAAGCCGTCTCAAGTTTCCTCTCGAAAATGTGGGTTAGTTATGTATTTATTTTGTAGGGAATTAGAGCCTACCTTTCTTCCCAGTCTGAACAACAGCACCTGACATTTGTTACATCATTTATGAAGGTTACATTTCTTTAGATTAAATTAACCTTAATTAACCCCAATTCGCCTATGAAAGCATCATAATAAAATACATAACCGAAAAGGATGGTATCAAACTTCAATAGCTGCCAAGTAAACAAATGATAATTGCCTAAGAATATACAGTATACTAGAAATCAGGCACCCTTGTGGCGTTCCAACGCCCCTCTCCTAATGAAGCAAGGTACCATCATCCAGCAGGTCTTTCCTACACCAGTACCGCAATATAACAGAGCATTCCAACACCAGTACCACTATCCAACAGGGCTTTCCAGCAATGGTACCATCATCCAGCAAGATTTTCCAACCATGCTGATGAACTAGGTATGTTGCTACAACTTACGCAAGATCTTCAGTGCTCCCTGCTCTGCTGGGTCTGTTGCCACTTTAAACTTTGTTATGACCACAGTGAACACATTCACCAAACTTTGTTACGACCATGGTGAACACCAAATTTTGTTGTGACCATAGTGAACATGGACCAAACTTTCTTATGACCATGGTGAATACTCACCAAATTTTATTACCATAGTGAACACCCCTTTCAACATTTGTGACACCTGTGGTGAGCACACACTCACCAAAACTTTGTTATGACCATTCTAAAGGTAATCACCAGACTTGGATCAGCTCCTTATATCATGGGCCCTTCACCCTCTCTTGAAGGGACCAGGAAAGGAGGACAGACCACCTTTGGCTCCTGAAAAACCATAAAACCATAAAAACTATAGTTTATTTTAGGCAGCCAATTATAATTCTGAGACTTTCATTTGTAACGAAGGCATTATTTAATTTTGTTTATAGAAGGTAAAATCAATAATGTCGCTATTACAAAGTGAATGTTTCAGTTATTCTTGGCTGCCTCAGAGGAGCAGCGAACACAATAGACTACTGTTCACTAGAAGTGTTGCAGTAAGCTTCCGGTCATATGATGGGCTGCGGGTGCTTACTAAACTAGTTCAGGTAAAAAAAAATAAAAAGACTATGCTTCAAACACATGTCTTAGAAGCTAAGACAAGTCCACCTATAGCCTAGAATCCTTGGAAGTTTCCAGATTCTTTGTCAAATGACCTTCAAGATGATCTATGTAAATAATAATAGGATAAACGTAAAATCGTTATACAAAGAATAAGTCACAGTACCGTGGCTGGAACAATTAAAAAAATCATCATCCAAATTTTGGAGAGGAAACTTTGGGCGACGATCCGATCCGATCCATCCTGCAGCATTATCGGGACTTGATAATGGTTCAGTATGGACCGAAATTTAGTTCAAGTTTTCTGTCAAATTCTGCATTAGTTGTGAATCTTTATCCAATATTTGACCGTAACCTTAGTGACAAAAAAAAATCAGTATTATAAGAAAGCTCGTACCTTAAATTTAATTTATATAAAACATTGTTGCGATTTATAGTTGGGATTTATCATCTCAGTCAATATTTGGGTCATTATTTGGAGAGCAAAAATAAACGATCAATGGGGAGGGTAATTCGGTCAATGCCTAGTAGTGGCATAGGGAAGCCATTGAAAGTTTGCATTAGGTCAGTTTGCCCTACAAATAGGAGTTTGATTTCTGCCTGTTATAAGCATTAACACAAATTTAATGTTATTCTAGCTTAGGTTAACGTAAATTAACCTATATTTATGTATAATTAAATGGACGACTTACGTCTTGGGATGCAAAATTAATAATGTACGCATTGACAAGAATTTGGAAGATATGCCTATACAAAGTATATATCATATGCATTGTTATTAAAAGTTAATAACACTGGACGATACTTGTCAATCCCAAAGAATAATAATGGCCAACACTGGTTTCAGTTCACTTTTAAAAACATGTTTCTAAGTAATTTTGGGACGCTGAATTCAGTCTTATCAGGACGTTTATTTCTGTGAAATAGAGCCCCACGGTGAACGATATTACCAAGGCAGCCATAATGGAGAAGAGATATCGGAAAGCTGATGATCAGTTTGATGGTCAACTACTGTTAGACAGTGGTGCGGGAGAGCTATATAATTAACACCAGCGAAGAAGCTTGTAAACTGTGATGTAAATGTTTGACAATGGAAATTTCTGTTATTTCTCTTGTGCATATATGTAATAAGTTTAAGAAAAATAAGTTTTTGTCATTACATGCACCACACTTAATATTTATGTATAATATAATACCTGTGACTGTTAGGTAATATATATCATGTGGGTCTTCAGCCTTAAGTAGCCAAAATATTGATCATAAGATTTTAATGAACTAACGTGATGAAGAACTCAACAAGCTCAGATTCCTCACATGCAAGTTATCTTAAATTTTAAAAGGACACAAGTGCAATTAATGTAACATTTTATTGTGGGAACGTTTCGCTCTCCAGGAGCTTTATCAAGCTGTAACGGCTCCTGGAGAGCGAAACGTTGCCACAATAAAATGTCACATTAGTTGCACTTGTGTCCTTTTACCTAACATATTGTCGGTAACTCTACCAATTTCAATACAGTTATCTTAAAACAATTTTTATCTCCGAACTGGATAAAAGTTAAATTTTTGTTAGCTTGTGTAATTATTATTATTGTTATTATCAGTGTGCATCTACAGTATGAATACTCTATGGATTTGATCTTTTTTTTTTCTTTACTTAATGGATTTGATTATTTGTTTATGTAGTATTTTCACTCTTCTCGTATAATTTGTAATGCATTTGTTCGTTACATCTAAGAATTGCGAGTAATAGCGGTGTTGTTGCAGCATGTTTACTGTGGTGATCCGGAGACCAGTTCACGAATACCTTTAATGAGTCTCGAATCTTTCTACTCCCGGAGCCCGGCCATGGACCAGGCTTGGCTGCTGCTAGCCTGGACAACCAGGTTCTTGCTGCTGGTGGCCCGCAGCCCCACATATCCATCACAGCACTAATGGAGTCTGCAATAGGCTGCAGTCAAAGCCGAGACTTGAAAAAACACCTTTGAGCGAAATGTTGCCTAATAAAAGATTGCTCTAAAAACACCTTTGAGCGAAACGTTGCCTAATAAATGATTGCTTGGAAAAAACGCCTTTGAGGGAAGCGTTGCCTAGTAAACATTGCTCTGAAAAAACTTTTGAACGAAACGTTGTCAAATGAAATGTTGCTCTGAAAAAAAAACTTTTAGCGAAATGTTTCATAATAAAAGACTGCTGTGCTGTCTTATCATCTTACTATAATTAATAATAACTTTGTATTATTATCATAATTAAATTCGTGAGGAAGCACTAAACTCGTAGGTGTCATACGGCGCCTGGTGGAATAGGAGGCAGTCAGGCTCGATCCAAGGGAAAGAGGGATAGGCCCAATTCCTTGGATCGAGAGCCCCTCACCGACATCTAGGTACCTCCCTAGAGGGTTTGCACTATCAGATTTAATATGACAATCTGAGCGCTAAACCTGCATTTCTGTGACATGTGAAACTGAAGTTTAACTAACTTAATTATTATTATTATAATCAAAAAGAAGCGCTAAGCCATAAGGGCTATACAGCCTTAACTAACTTAAACATTTAGATATCAAATGAGTATAAATATTTATGTAATGCTCCTTTGTTAGGATGTACAACCTTGACTAGGCTGGTTTATATAAAGGCTAGGCTAAAGATTGCTAGGTTATATTAATTTAGTTCGGATACTATGGGTAGTTTGTTAAGTAATTAGGTTGAGATAGTTTACACGCTTTACAACTAACTCGTAATTTTGAAATGAAAACTGAAAGACGTTTCGGACCTAAACGTTCTCTGGATTATTTTCCTCCAATTTATCTATTTGATATCAACTGTTCCAGCCATGGTATTACGATTTTTTATATTTATTAAATGGTTTAATCTGGTTAGATTAGTCAATTTCGGGCAGCGATTACTCAACTTGGGAGAAGGATTAATCAAGATGGGGCAAGAATTAGTAAACGAGCAGCAAGGCTCTGGAGAGCTTGCAAGCTGGCAAGTGACAGGGATTTAGTCAGCATCGGCAACCGTAAGATTTCGCAGTGCAAACCTTATTAATATTCTTGTCATTAAGACCATTATTAAAAATTCATAGTGATTCGGAAGAGATTTGTTCGGGCATTCATTTACTTTTCCAAGAGAAGAGGGAGTCTTAACACAGTGATTATATAAACATGCCTAGCTTATATTAGGTTTAAATTTTCCGTGTTTCCCATGTGGGTGTACGCCTTGGCCTGCCTGCTTTACTATTATTATTATTATAATCAAAAAGAAGCGCTAAGCCACAAGGGCTATACAGCGCCTGCTTTACTAGACTTTTATAATCTAGATTTTTATAATGAATTATATATTTGTCATAGTAACGCAAAACAAAATATGACTTTCAGACAGGAGTATTACCAGCTTGATGCATTACACGCAATAAATTAATATATTACTATTATTTTATTTTATTATTACTATTATACTGCTACTTAATTGACTACCATTAGTTTGTCTTGTTTAGATATGCAATAGCTATAACTTGTTAAATGCTTTTCAGGTAGTGGAGCGAAGGATTACCATCTTCTGCTGAAGGCAATTTGTGATGGGCAGTGGAAGCAGGAAAGCCATGTGAGTGAATAAGTGTGGCGAGTGTGGGCCCCAGCAGGTGTGGGCCCCAGTGGGTGTGGGTGGTGTCTGGGTCTCTGCAGGTGTGGGCCCCAGTGGGTGTGTGGTGAGTGTGGGCCCGAGAGGGTGTGTGAATGCGAGGCTCAGAAAGATACAGCCCAGAGGAGTCGAGGAGAGCTTATGGTGGCAGGGACGCAGGGCACTACAAGAGCGTCAGGATGCGCACGGACTGGGGCATCTACGAGGACCCAGGACACTTGCGGAAGGGTATTTACAGCGTGAGCGACGTGGCGGGGGTAGGGGTGTACCACGACGGGGTCGACGACGCCGGGGATGACCTGAGAGACGACAGAGGGGAAGAGAAGGTATATGGCTTCAGCCCCCCCACTGCCTCTCACCTCTCCACTGGTAAGTGGTCAAGCACGCACAGTTTGGCGGCAACAGCGTCGCCTGGTCGAAGTGTTCACGGTGTCAGCGCTGCCACAGGGGGTCACCGTGCGTCCCTAGGGGAGAGCCACAGGCCTGCTCATGCTCCATCCTACGCCAGGGACTCTCTCAAGCGACACGACTACTCCCGTCAGCACCAGGCACGAACCAACCCTCCTGAAGTCATCTACAGGAGCACAGAGAAGCGAAACGGAGACCGTCACGTCAACGGCGGTAGCAGCAGGTCCCAACAGCAGCAACAGGGGCGAGGCTACTCCACCTCCAGTAGAGGCGAATACAGTACACCTGCCTCCGGCTACAGGAGTTTAAGGGGCTACCCAACTGCAGCCGATGAATATGAAGACAGGGAGCCACGTAGCTTTGATACCTCTGTCCTCAGCAACGGCTACAGTACCAGGTCATCTGACTATGTGGCACGGAGACAGAACAGTCTAAAGCGTTCCAACAACAAAGCTTACTTCACTTCCAGTGAAATATACAGCAACCGACGGTCGTACCCGCCTGAGAGTCACCCCAGCAGAACCACCGTCACGAAGGGCATACTAACCAACAGCGGCAAGTATAGCGGGGGCAGCAGAAGTAGCAACTCCAACTACGCTGTGGACACTCGCAACAACCTCGCTGGGTACACTGACCAGAACGACCAGGCTAAGAATAATCTCTCAACTCTGGACACTTATGAGAAAAGAAGCTGTTTCGTATGGAACCAGACCGTCTGTGAGTACATCCACGAAGAGCAGCCAAACCGAAGTTTCAATAACAAGCGACCTACAGCAGAGCAGTGACGGCAGAAGCAGCTGCAAGACCAGTCTGCAACTTCCCGAAGGTGTGAGCAGTGGCAGCAGCAGACGCAGCAGCAGTAGCACTCAGCAGGTAACTTTTAGCACTGTTGCTAGTGGCGGTGCCTCAGACAGCAGTCAGCAGGACGGGAAAGAAGACCGCTATGACACTTTAGGTCGCAGGGACGCCGGGACCCTCAGGAAGGACCGCAAGAAGACTAAAGACGAGCAAAACCAGACCGAGGACGATATGAGTCAGTGGAGCGGGAGGAACGGTGGTGGGGGTGGGCAGTGGTGCCCGGGGCACGAGCAATGCCACGACGAGGCTGGTTTCTCTAACTCCCAACATGCCCAACACAACCACCCCCGCGGCCAGCCCCTACCACGCCCACCCTTGCCGCCCCAGCACTACCCTGGCCACGATGGTGAACCACAACCCCCGCCCGATCACACTCACTACACACAGCAGCAACACAATCACGCCTACCACAACCACGGTCATAACCACGTCCATCACAGGCACCAGTCTTCAGGAAGCAGCCAAGCACTTGTGCGTTCAGACACTGCTGACGGTAAGTACAACCTGATTCTTATCCAGTTTTAAGCAACCTAATATATGGTAAGGAAGACAAATTTCCTTGGTGTATTTGTCTTACGACTATATACATTTACAGTAACTTGATAGGCTATGAGTAGCAGTAGGTTTTTTTTTTTTACTTTTAGGCATAATTACATGAAAACTAAAATTGTTTCGGTCGCTGGGTTATCCAAGAAAGGTATTCTCGTCACCCAGAACCCCATCTGCCTTTTCTGCACTGCAGGCAGCAGGAATAGTGCAGGTATAGGGTGGTCATAAAATTCTGATGCAACTAAATGTAAAAATAACATGAGTATGATGCCTGTGTATGCTTGTGTGCGCGCATATGTATGTATATGTGAATGTATTCGTTGTATATGTACACTTGTGTGAATGATAAAATGAGACTTGAGACTTGAAAATAATCAAATGATAAAGACACTAGACGATATGTGACGGGCGATTCCCGTAGAGTTTTGTGACGGGGGAACCCCCCCCTCCCCATCATTGTTCAGTGTCTGAGGCTGGTTTAAGGGGTGATGGGGGTCATTTCCCGTTTATATCATGGAAACCAATAGACCGATTTTAATGAAACTCATGAGTCATTATTCTATAAAGGACACGTAGACTAAAATACTGTAAACAAAATAATATTTTAAATTCAGCTTAATATTGATTTTCTGTTAAAGTTTTTAATTAAATTAATATCTTCTAAACAGCTAAAGGGAATTATGTAAAAATTTATGTGGTGTAGGTTGAAATGTTATAAAAATCTGTTTAATTTTTCACCTTGAACCAATTTCTTAGTGGCCCCAAAAAATATTTATAAAATTAATAAATAGTAGGCCACAATTACTAAAAATGAAATCTTTCTCTAATTAGGACACGTACCTATGTTTTCGCCCCATTAAAAAGTAAAGGATCACCACTCAGCAGTGTCCTCTGATGGTTATATTAGTACTTTAATTTCATTTTGGTAATGTAAGTGTACTTATACTGTTGTCAAGAATGGATTTACAACGTGACACTTTAGTAGAAATGAAGCCAATGGAGAACATGTGGTTCATCCACTAATGTTAGACAACGTTTAACCTAATACTTTCCAAGAATGTAAAATATACATATCAAAGCACGCTTTTTTATTAACGTTTCGTTCTAAAAAGGCTTTAATAAATCTGTATTAATCGAAACGTTGTCTAATAAAAAAACGCTCTGTTTCGCGTGTTTCACGTTCCTATATTGTATCTTCTAATATTTTTCAATGTGTTTTTAAATGGGAACATCACGTAACAGCCGCATATATCAATTTTGGTCTAATATACTGTATGTTATAAACAGCTTTTCCAGAATTACATCATCCATTTATCATAATTTTAATGGATAATTGTAATTTCCTAAAAATGCCAGAATAATTTAAAAAAAGTGAAAAACTGTTACCCGTAATGGTTTAACCTCGTCCCCAGGGTTAGTGCAGGGGTGAATATTCCCTTGTGGCTTGCAGATATATTCTCCAGGATGGCCGTGATTCTGCTGTTTCTCTGCCTCCTGAAAGAGACTTATATAACAAACAATATCGTAAATATAAGTCGCTGGTCTTATATATATCGTGGGCGCTGCACTTAAACGAGCCCGGTGCTCGTAAGGTGGCAGTGGTTTATGAGGACAGTAGGAACCTGTTTCAAACGTTCTCTGGCGAGCGCTGAACGCTAGTAGTAATAACTCTTAGCTTTGCACCAGGCCAAGTTAAATGTAGTGTTTGCCAATGGGACATTCCAGGGCTGGAGGGCGTAACACCGACAGGTATGTGGAGAAAGATACAAGTTTGCAGAATAAGACTTGATTATAACTTTATCAAGTTATAATCCTCTAAAACTTTTGTATATTTTTTTTTTATCTTGGTTCGGGACATTCCGAAAGGAGAACACAGGCAGATCGAAAAAGCTAAATAAAATTTGCACAGGAATTTTGTTGAGATGTTTTGAGAGTGGAACACAAGAACGAAGGAACACTGCCACAACCCTACTGGCTCATGCTAGGCAGGTCCAGTTTACACTCATCCATACCCACTCATTTACTTACTCGTCCAACCTGTATTTAAAGCTATGCAAAGTTTTCGGTTCAATGACGCTACCTGGAAGTTTGTTCCACTCACGTACAAGTCTATTAATGCCAAACAAATACTTCCCCATAACTTTTCTAAATCTAAACTTCTCCAACTTGAATCGGTTGCTGCAAGTTCCGTCTTGGCGAGATATTTTCAGCAGGCTTTTTATATTATCCAGGATTCTTCAACCAATACAGGAAACACGTGCGTGTCACAAACACAGGCACTGTTGTGAGACTTACCCACTCTACCTGAGGTATCTCAGCGAGTGAGCACGTCTCCTGTGTATCCCAGTGCTTAACAGAATAGGGAATAGCATATGGAGGTACAAATAAAAATGGGAACTATGGCTGTAGTTTACTTAATAACATAAAAGGGCTAGAATACAACATATACTGATGGACATTTACATAATATAACAATTGGCCTATGAGACTTATTACCAGGGGAAAGGGAAGATGTTATCAGCAACACGGACTAGTACTCACTCTTAATTCACCGACCAGCTGACCCGAGATTCCCAATGCGTGGTCCACTACACACGCGGCTGTCCAGAGCTCTCGCTCCCCGGACCTATCACCAACAACCCTCCTTGCTCAGCTGTGCCCTGGGCTTATATGGTAGTCAAAGTACCCCCCCCCCCCACAATAGGGTGTGCACCACGTGTTACGACCTGACGTCGAGGTTTGACGCCGCCAAGAACAAAACACCTCAGACGTGGGCATGACTACCCGACATTTGCTAAGGCAGGTGTGACCATATAAGTAGGTCTCCCTAGAGACCTCACAAGCCCATCTGAACTGCATCACAGTGTTCACCTTGGTGTGTTCACCTAGTTGTGTTCACCTTGGTGTGTTCACCTAGTTGTGTTCACCTTGCTGTGTTCACCTAGTTGTGTTCACCTTGGTGTGTTCACCTTGGTGTGTTCACCTAGTTGTGTTCACCTTGGTGTGTTCACCTAGTTGTGTTCACCCAGTTGTGTTCACCTAGTTGTGTTCACCTTGGTGTGTTCACCTAGTTGTGTTCACCTTGGTGTGTTCACCTAGTTGTGTTCACCTTGGTGTGTTCACCTAGTTGTGTTCACCTTGGTGTGTTCACCTAGTTGTGTTCACCTTGGTGTGTTCACCCAGTTGTGTTCACCTTGGTGTGTTCACCTTGTGTTCACCTTGGTTTGTTCACCTAGTTGTGTTCACCTTGGTGTGTTCACCTAGTTGTGTTCACCTTGGTGTGTTCACCTAGTTGTGTTCACCTTGGTGTGTTCACCTAGTTGTGTCCACCTTGGTGTGTTCACCTAGTTGTGTTCACCTTGGTGTGTTCACCTAGTTGTGTTTACCTTTGTGTGTTCACCTTGGTGTGTTCACCTAGTTGTGTTCACCTTGGTGTTCACCTAGTTGTGTTCACCTTGGTGTGTTCACCTAGTTGTGTTCACCTTGGTGTTTTCACCTAGTTGTGTTCACCTTGGTGTGTTCACTTAGTTGTGTCCACCTTGGTGTGTTTACCTAGTTGTGTTCACCTTGGTGTGTTCACCTTGTGTTCACCTAGTTGTGTTCACCTAGTTGTGTTCACCTTGGTGTGTTCACCTAGTTGTGTTCACCTTGGTGTGTTCACCTAGTTGTGCTCACCTTGGTGTGTTTACCTAGTTGTGTTCACCTTGGTGTGTTCACCTTGGTGTGTTCACCTAGTTGTGTTCACCTTGGTGTGTTCACCTAGTTGTGTTCACCTTGGTGTGTTCACCTTGGTGTGTTCACGTAGTTGTGTTCACCTTGGTGTGTTCACCTAGTTGTGTTCACCTTGGTGTGTTCACCTAGTTGTGTTCACCTTGTGTTCACCTAGTTGTGTTCACCTTGGTGTGTTCACCTTGGTGTGTTCACCTAGTTGTGTTCACCTTGGTGTGTTCACCTTGGTGTGTTCACCTTGGTGTGTTGGAGAATTAGCGCCGTGACCATTATTTAAATTAATATGAAATAGCTTTGAATTATTATTATTATTATTATTATTATTATTATTATTATTATTATTATTATTATTATTACATTCCTTGTGAAACGCGAACCATATAATGGTCAAAGGGCGCCTGGGTAATGGAAGTTAATCGCCTGGGTAATGGAAGTTAATCGCCTGGGTAATGGAAGTTGATCTGAGGAAAGATTAGATAGTTCTAGTTCCTCGGATTTGGAGCCCTTTACTGGCATCAAGCCCTCCCCGCCCCCTTGAAGGGAAGACAGCCTTGGTAAGCTGCCCGTGTGACCTGTACCAGCTGTTCCCTTCAAGGAAAAAAAAGTATTTATTACGTCACGCTCTCTCAACTAACAAAGTTATTGTCTGTATATAAATTAACATTCGAGCAATTATTGAATTCAGAGTTCTAAAAATGTCATTAGTCAGACCTCGTTAAAATCATTCTGACTATTTGTTTAGCTATTTCGTTAATATAGGAAAAACATGTAGAGTCATCTTTGATCCCTTGAACACAGAATGTAGTTGGTTTAGAAAGACACGTAAGCAAACACTATAACATATTTATTAGAAAACGTTTCGGTCCTGGGACCTTGATCACTTCTTCAGAAGTGATCAAGGTCCCAGGACTGAAACGTTTTCTAATAAATATGTTACAGAATGTAGTAGCAGCAGCAGTAGTAGTAATATTAGCAGTAGCAATAACACCATCACTGCCAACAGCAACAATAATAGTACCACCACTATTAATAACAAAAACAAAATATAACAACAGCAGGACGACTAACAACATTAACAAGAGTATCAACAATAACCATCACCTATAAAAACATTACAAAGAATACAATAAAAACAAAAACAAGAACAACAAAAAATTTAATACACACGTGGAACAGAAGTGCTCTTTACGAATTATGTCGCCATTCTTTTCTTTC